GTCTTTTTGAGACAGGGTCTCCCTGTAGCCCCAGCTGTCCTGGAACTCATATGTAGACCAGGCTGGCCTTGAACTCACAGAGATCCGCCTGCCTCTGTTTCCTGAGTGCTGGGATTAAAGGCGTGTGCCACCACGCCAAGCTTTGATGACTATTTTTAAAATATGAGAAACCACTACTTAGTTTATATATTTAATTTTTAATGAATGTGAAAATATTTCAGTTTGACCTTTGAAGCAATAGTATGAACATTAGTATCTATATATTTTTCTTCAATCCTTCTGGGCATGCTCAGATGGCAATAAAGCAGGAGTAAAATTTATGTTCATTTTCATACTTCAATATCTGAGGAACTGTGCAGTTCATTTTCTTTTTGTGTGTGAATTCTGTTTCCCTGATGATTAAGCCATGATGCTAAGTTATTAGCATTACAGGTTGCTTGGCTTGGATTTATTCTCTTCATTAATGTTTAGTTCCCCTTCTAACAGTTAATATAAATTGTAAGTCATGTATTATTTGATTTTATTCAAAGCATAAGGGTTGCAAATAGCTAATTGTTACTGTGGCACAACAAAAATGATACAAAAGGTTGAATGACATCTGGAAAAGGTTGGAATAGAGGCTCTTGAGAGAATAAAAGTAATGAGATGGCTAAAAGAAAATTGTAACTTTCAAAATGATTTTCTAATGATTTCCATTTTTCTTTTAAGGTTAGAAAGTTATATAGTTCCTTAACCTTTATTTGCTTTGTTTCATTACTGCTTTACAGGTAGGGCTAAAGGTTGCTAGTTTTTACATTCGTTTAGATTTATTTGCATGAGGAAGACAATACATCAAACTTTTGCTGTATTAGCTTTTGAACTCTGGCTTTTGTCATAATCAGCATCTGTTGTGTTCCATGCTGTTCCACCATTTTTCACTGAGTCATTTTACATAGAGGGAAATTCTGACACTTTCCAAAGTTACACAGCTAGAAAGTAGTTGTTCTAAGATTTGTTATCTTCCCTTGTGTGTCCACAAAGCTCCTATTACCCCGCCTCACTCGTGGGCCAGACACTGGAAATAAAGGTCTGACGCTTTATTACTTACAATTATTTTTAATGTTTTATTTATTATTTTATGTGTATGAGTGTATTGCCTGCATGTGTGTAAGTGCACCCGTGTTGTGCAATGGCTGCGGAGGTCAGAAGAGTACGTCAGATCCCCTGAAACTGGAGTTAGGGACATTTGTTAGTCATCATGTGGATGCTGGGAATGGATCCTGGGTCCTCTGTAAGAGCAGCCAGTGCTCTTAACTGCTGAGCCATCTTTCCAACCCCCAATTTTCTTTCTAGTTTTTAAACCTCATTCCTATAATCTTTAAGTAATGACTATGGTAATTAAATTGTGTGATATTTAATTGCTAAAAAGAAATGAAGTTCAATTGCATTAAGGCTTTGGATGAAGTATGTAGTCATTCTGACCAGTCTTAATATCTATATAGAACTGACATTAAAGCGGAGTTTAAACAGAAGCATGAATTTGTAAGTAACAATGGAGTATTTGAAAACATCTATTAAGAGGTTGGTGTATAAAAGCCCAAACACCAAGATTTTAACACAAAGAATAAGTAAAAATACTCCTAACCATGTTTTGGGAGATGGATAAGCTGCGGTGACTGACATACAAAGTTGCCTTCTTGTTGTTCCAGAGTGGTCCTAGTACCATTCCATATAGTTTATGAATTTGTTCTATTATTTTGGTACAGTATACTGAGTTTTAGGTACCTAGCATAAAATGGTAAATTAGACTTTAATTAGTATTCAAAATTATAAGTAATAATAATTGAAATTTGTAGTATTCAAATTTAAAAACCAAATTTTGTATGAATTGTGAATATGCCATGTGAGAGAAAGTATGTATATCTTACATATAAAGAACTGCGTTTCAGAGTAGCTTAGGCTCTCTTCCAGATGCCATGCCTAGTAATGCCAAAGGCTAGGTGGAACTTGAGAGTCATTATTCTTCAGTTGACCCATTCTATTCTGTTTAGTTTTACACCATTTCTCAGAGTAAAACCTGAAGGTTTTAGTTGTTTGTTTATAAGGTGAGAGACTTTTTGAAGCAGATATCTGGGCAATCTCTGCCTTTGCCTGTTTCTGTATTTCTATGCACACAGGAAAGAACTAAAAATGCAGCCAGCAACATCTAAACAGCCAAGTGGATTTGGTAATTATCATTGACAGGGAGGCTTAAGGAACAGATTTATCTAAAAACTTGTTTGTTGCTGATATTAAGACCATGATGACATCAGTTGCTTGTCTTCAGATTTCAATAAAAAAAAGTGGGTGAAGCATAGTCTAAATACAATTTTGTAAAGCTCCGTAACCTTCCAGTTTGGGGCAGTAAGTGATGACTTAGAAGTTAAAGAAATTGCACACTCTCATGTCTTTCTCTTCTCGCAAGTTGCAACAGGAACTTCTAGCCATAAAACAGCAGCAAGAACTCCTAGAAAAGGAGCAGAAACTGGAGCAGCAGAGGCAAGAGCAGGAAGTAGAGAGGCATCGCCGGGAGCAGCAGCTTCCTCCGCTCAGAGGCAAAGATAGAGGACGAGAAAGTAAGAGGCACCAGGGTAAAAGATGGACTTTCTTTCCTCGTCTTTAGTTCACCGTCACAAGGAACCTGTTTAGAAAGAAAGTGGAATACAACTTGTCGAAACTGTCTGTTTAATTAAAATATAATTTTCAGACCAAAATGTGAAGTTCTGACATTTCATATCAGCTCTGTGGCGCCTAATGAGAAGTTAACAAAGCTTTGGCAGAGATACAGGGTTTTGTTTTTTGGACCTTCAAAGTAATGTAACACTAAAGTGATGTAAGAGCCTGCTTAATAATAAAGTTATGTTGGCATCTCTTCATTCCTTCCTTCTTCCTGCCCAAGCAACGATTGTTCTGAAAGTTAAAGTGTGCCTCTGTTTCCTTTCCTTAGACTTTGGAAAGTCTCGAGGCAGAAAACTTGCAAAATAGCCATCCAGCAGGGGGAGACAGACCCAAATAATTCCTCTCCATCCAGTCAGTTCAAACTCAGGTCGTTGCAAAGTTTAAAATTTGATCACTTGAACTGAAATTTTCAGCAATATTCATTTGTTTAATACTCAAAGGAATTTTTTATAACAATGTTGAGTTTTTAAAATCATAAAAGATCATTTTTAACGTATTGAAGTAATCTGCTCTGGTCCTCAACATTCTTGATTAAAAGAATAAAATCAAAAGTCAGTGTTTTGTTGCTTAGTCACGGCATTTATTATTTATTTATTTATTTATTCATTCATTCATTCATGCATTTAGCAGGGTTGGAGATTGAGCATAGGGCTTCACACATGATGGACAAGTACTGTATCACTGACCTAGAGGCCACAACTCCTAGCAATATTTTATTTTAAAACTTTTAAACTTAAATATGAATTAATATTAGTCCTTGGAAGCTCTTTTCTGCAAAAGCAATTAACAAACTCTTTGAAGGTCTTTTGAAAATATGCAATTTAGGTATATCAGTTGCAAACTGCTATTTTCTAAGGCCTAAGTACATTCTGGATTCTTCTTTTAATAGGAAAACTTCATATGCTGTGACCAGTGATAGTCCTTCTTATCCTTTGCTAAGTGTTCTTGAGGTGTGAGAGGAAGGTCATCACTGTCAGCTTCTGGTTCTGTGTGTGTTTCAGGGGCAGTGGCCAGTACAGAAGTAAAGCAGAAGCTTCAAGAATTCCTGTTGAGTAAATCAGCAACAAAAGACACTCCAGCTAATGGAAAGAATCATTCCGTGAGCCGCCATCCCAAGCTCTGGTACACGTATGTTCGGTGTTTGTTTGTTTTCGTTCCAAGACTAGAGAGCAGAAGTTCTGTTTGGCCAACCTGGGTACAAATCCTGGCCTTGCAGTTCTCAGCTCTTTGGCAATAGACAAGTTCCTTGAATTCTTTAAGAATCAATTTCCTTCTCCGTAGAGAGTATAGCAATAGCACCTGACACTAGGGTTGCTGGAAAGGTCTAGGAAAAAATGTGAGAAAGTAGAGAAGAGAGAGCAGTTCCTGATTAGCATTACCTGTTATCAGTGAGGGCTCGGGACGTATTATATTCTCTGTTGAATGACTAACTGACACAGGGGTTGGGACCAAAGGATGGATTTGTACTTCTTATTTTTTCCTTTCTGTCTATTCTGAGATGGTACATCGGATAAGATTTGTGGAGGTTTGGCAGATTGTGGCTTCATTTTGTTTTACTTGGCTTAATATAAATTTAACCAGAGCTATTTTGAGAAATTCAAATGATTTTTATTAAAAAGAAAACTGGGAAAGAAGATAAGGAAAAATGAAGAAAAGAAGAAAAAGAAGGAAAATCACTAAATAAATAAAACCAGGTCCTCAGTGACTAGTTCACCCCTGCCCACTCCACCTCATTTCTTTCCACCCAGAGAAATAATAGTTTGACTTCTGACACACAAACTGACAACATGAAACACTGTGCCATTAGAGTTTTTTTTTGGAACCGTATTTCCTCAAGTCTGGCAGAGAGTTACTATGTACTATATAATTCTTTTTCTCTGTGAAATATGATTAATATGTTTTTTTTCAGAACCAGACTGGAGAATGGATAGATAAATCACATTTGCTAATAGGCTAATAGATAATGATTTCATTCTCATAAATATGTTTGCTAAGTGACCTTAAGAATTTACATGAACATATTTTTCAGTCTTTCACATTACCATGACATGAAGTAAATATTAATTACTTTATGGAAATTGGAAACATCCCAGGAGATTTTAAAAAGCCTTATTGTACTTATAAGTCTATTTTATAGGTATCTACCCTTCCATGCATACCCAACTAAGGTAACAGGCGTGTTCCAAATTTTTATACACTTGAAAGATTATGTCATGTCCATCATACATATCAGTTGACCTGAGAAAGTAATTGGTATCATAGTGTGCTAAAAGGAAACAGTTTTTTTAATGAGAAACAACTATTTGGAAATAATTTGTCAGCTGAAAATTCTTTAACTGCTCTCTTGAGTATATTAAATGTGGCTCATTGTGTTACTTAGTGATCTTTTCTTGTTTATATGGAATTGAATTTCGGTATAGTCCAATTCCAGATTCCATAAATCATTAATTTAGGAATCTGAATTACAGGAATCCATTATGTGGCTGTGGACAATTTCCTTGAATTCTTGAAAGATCAGTTTCCTTCTCCATTAAAAAGACCAGAAAAACAGTGCACTTTTAATACTATTTTTATCAGTTATAGGTACATAAAATGTCCTTAAGCCAGTTAATTATTGAGAATGTGTTTTTTTTTTCAAATAAATAACTGTGGTAGAACAGTCATTATGGTGGTAGCCCTCTGCCCTATGCATTGTTTCCATTATATGTAATAATCATGTTGTTTTTATTCACTGTGTAGCCTGAGTTCAGTCCTATAAACTCTTTTCTAATAACACAATTAAATCTTTTCGATATTGTCATTTAAGAAAGAAAATATTTTTAAATTAGTTTTATATAGAAGAATGTGCTTTCCCTTTCACGGTGCAGGAGTCAGGAGACCTGAGACTGTTGGCTCTACTGTCTTTTCAGTAGAAAGAGCCTCATGATGTACAAGGCTAGCAGGATGGTGGCACTCACTAGCAGTAATGAACTCTTTGGGAAATGTCCATTTTCACCACCTTTGTTCTATATTGGCTGCTCTCAAATATTCAAGTGATGTCTCTCTCTTTTTTTTAGTATAGCTATTCAGAAGTCATACATAGTAATTTCAGACTGTAGAAATCTCAGTTCCTACTTTTAGTGAAGTGAAATTTTAGATATGAATGAATGACCAGAGCAGGGTGGGCATTCTTTAGAATCCTGCATCATCCCACAGCATCCTGCTACAGTGAACTTGACTACATGAGGCTGTGGTTTGTATACAGTAAGGGGAACAGACATAAACACAGCTGAGGCACGTGCACAGCATGTACAGCTGATCATTGCTGATCAACATATACTACAATCCAGCCTCAGTATGAACACCTTCTTTGTCTTTTGTAGGGCCGCCCACCACACATCACTGGATCAAAGCTCTCCACCCCTTAGTGGAACATCTCCATCCTACAAATACACATTACCAGGAGCTCAGGATGCCAAGGATGATTTCCCCCTGAGAAAAACTGGTAAGTTGGCTTAGCAAGAACAGTACTTTCTCTTCCATGACATACCTCAGTTTCATTTTGCACCCCTATCAATGGAAATGAAAGGACCTGAAGTGTAGTGTACTCTACGCAACACCGTCCTGAGACAAATATCCATAAGCACATGCATGTACTCTGGTGCACATACATGGGCCCACACATGCATACCCACCCATGCACTCCTTCTCCCTACATTAGTTGATTCACAATATAATCAAACTTTCTTCACTTTAAAAGCTTGGCATATTTGGATTTTAGTCATATTATTTTCAACGTTAGCAATAATGGGTGAAATGAAGAACGATAGATATGTAGTTCTTCTCCATTTTAAGGACCTCTAATTTCCTCTACTGTCTGGTTTCCTTCTTTGTGCCAACCATTTACTAAAGTAAAAATGGGTATTATAATAAGTGGTATTTTACCTTACAAATATCTTTACCCTTTCTAATTCCAGTTATTGATGTGGTGAACATCAGATCAAAGCTTCCTTCTAAGTTACTTTCCTAGTAGTCTACAGACTACAGAACTCAGAGCAAAAAAATTGTCCCTAGTATTCTTGCAAGTGAGAATACACAAGTCCCTACATTCCTGGGGGTTAGAATTTGTTTGGGAGGAATAACAGAATGAATCTTCTATTAGAACATAGTTAACAGTCCTATAGCTCTAAGGTCTATTTGTCTGCCCGTCTTCTTTTATTTTTGAACCTCACTGATATGTGATAGTTAATGTGTTTTATGCTTTTCCCGCTATAATCAATATTTTTCAGTAACAGGTAGAAATATACATGGATTACAGTTGTCAACATTCTGTTCTAAAACTTGCTATTTAGAGATAGTTACTAACTTGAAATTTCTTTATATCTACAACTCACCTCAATAGCTATTCACAGAACAGATAGTTTAATATATTGTATTTTTACTCAGGTCTTTTTGAACTGCAAATTTATGTATAAAATATAAAGAATGATGATTTCAAATAATTATATTCATTTCCCAAGTAATGTGGAGTAATTAAAATGGATGTAGATTGTACAAACACATGCTAAAGCCATTGTCTGTCAGATAATTTACCTGTGGCATAATGAAGATTTAAAAATAAAATTAAGCATGAAAAGAAGTTTATTACCCAGCATCTAGCTCATATGATAGCAGATACTGGGAAAGGTGCTGACGTTTCTTGAAGCAATCTGTGCCTTTTATTTTTATAGCCTAGAGAGTTTTGCATTTCTAGAACATTAGGTGCATAAATCCTGTGTGTAGACAAGAATGAGCTTTATGTACTGCACCAGAATTTCCCATTGTTCCCTATGAATCCTACTGCCTTTCTTATAGATAAACTTCTCTGAAGTAAGAGGAAGAAAGCAAAGAGTGATACTCTATGTATTTCTAAAACCTGGGTTGTACTTTATGAAAATTGATTCATGAACTATGAGACTTACAGCTTTGATGTGTAGTTTTACCGGTAGTATGTATAAGAGCTACTGAAAAAGATAATATGAATATTACTTCAGTCAGGACAGGGACTGACATGCAAGAGCCCAAGTAGTCACTGAAAGGAAAGAAAACAGTTGGTCAGTCAGTCCTCTTATGGCAGGAAGTTCCTGATGGGAACTTTGCATTCAAAGGTGTCTTTACATTCAAGACACCTCTGTCCTGATCCCATGGCCTTTGAACATGTTTTTATCACTGGCATGAGAAACTGACTACAGAGCCAATACTGTCCCTGAAGGAAGTGGTATTTGGGGCCTTCAAGAATCCAGAAAGAAAATCTCATCTTTTTCAAAACAAAAAAAGCTGGTACTTTATATCCTACTGTTTCCATGAGAACAGTTTCGTTTTCCCTCTGGGAAGAGTGAATAACAAGCTGTTAATTTATTCTCATTGAAATTCTCAATTCACAACAAAATCCTGCTCAGGATATATGTTATGCACTCTTTCTCAAATCTGTGCAGCTATGCAAGACATTTTTGCTGCCTCTCTATGTGAGATATAATGATAGCAAAATCCCTGGCCTAACTAGTGGTATATTTTCTGAATTTGCCCAATATTTTATATTTGCTCATTTTCTACTGAAAATATGATATTTATGAAGTGTCAGGCTGCTGATCTGTAAAACCAAACATTTCTAAGCATTGTAGCAATAAAGTTCTTGAAAACCCATCAATACTTTAATATCTCTACAGAGGTTTCAAAGTATTCTTAATTCAATTCCCATTGTCTGCTTTAAAAAAAGCATTATGTAATTAACCACAGATGTTTTCTATACACTAGCTAAAATTGAGATATCCTTCATTTATTACAAATAGGCAGAACTATTCAACTCTTAAAAATACAGTCCTTTTGGTGTATTGACAGTTGCATAGTGAGAAAATGTAGACGTAACTGCACTCCACAGAGGAACACTGAGATATCTCGGTTACGCTCACTTCACCACTTACTGCATTCCACTGATTGAAAAGTCTTAAAAAAGTAAACGGTATAATTTTACCATGATAAAATGTAGGCTGTGATTGTGGATATTGATTCTTGTATAAAGTCACATCATTTTAACTGCAATCTACCTCTAGAGTATTGCCGTAGATCATCCAGAAGAAGCACCAGCACAGCTATTACAGAGTTAAGCTTTGTCTCTAGAGCCATATTGTCAGTTTGTGCTATCTACTTGAATTTCACTGAGTTCAGTCTTGGACTTAAAAGAACTTGTTAAATGAGTGGATCCTGTCTTTTGAGATTATATGATAGTAAATAGTTTTTATTTCTTTCAAACCAACTGTGTACTGAATGTCTATATATAGTAGTAAAGTTTAAGAGAATAAAATGAGAACTAGAGTAAAGGTCTTAATGACTTTAAATAGATTAAGGTAGCCCAAGGGAGGTCCTGCAAGCAGGGAGCACAATTTGGAAGCTCTTTGACCTTTCAGGGCCCCACTGTCCTTAGTGACAACCCGGGAGCAGTCAGCTATAGAAGTCTGACTTTTTGCCCGCAGAAATCTGACCTTCGTCATGCAAAGTGGACCTTTGCTTCCTTCCTCTTGGGAGAATCAGAGTTGCCCTTGTAGTCCAATTAGCGAATAATGTCCATTTACTTTCCTCCATTCATCAATGGCTTTATTATAATTGGTTTCGAGGTTGAGAATCACATAATTGTTTTAAATTTTTTATATTTTTTGCCCATACTTAAAGTATCCCTCCCTTCTAGAATCACTGTTCTAGAACACAAGGGTGTGTTGATAGGGACATTCTTTCCTGAATGCCAAGCTTCAGAACATAGCATTATTACTGTAATAGATTACTCCCATGCCTTATAAAAGACACTATTGTATTGATAATAAAGGAAGGAAGGAACCTTCTGGGTCTTGGCAATTTTGAAATTTAGTGTATTTTTCTCACAGAGGTATTGCATATATGGTGACTTTGAACTGACCTTTAAAACCATTTAATTTGGACTCTGTTCCAGTGATCATGTGCATATGTTTCATAAAATATTACAGTAAAAATTTCTAGAGGTTTTATCCTCTGTTTTATTATCGAGGTCTTATCCACTGAACTTTGCTTTTCTTTGAACGTTGTAACCTTTCTATTTAATCCTTCTGAACAAAGCAAAATGATTGGGTATATTAACCTCTTAAAGTACACAAGCCATATGATACTTGGCTTTGGCTAATAAGAGTGTTCCAGCCTTACTGAAATACTCATTTTACTGGTCAGCAGCACAGGAATATGACTCAAAGATGGAAGGAGTCCAAATATAAGTTAGGGTTTTGGAAGGCCAATGGCATTTTCCACACACAGTAACTGGAAAGGAGACAGCAATGAGATATATAGCTTTATAAATCTTCTCTTGATAAAGCAGTCAGCAGTCAGGTTGTGGTACTTTGGCAACCTATTCAAGCTATTATAATTAAAATTAACTCAAGGAGATTTTCTTAAAATGCCTTAATCTCTCCCTCCTTCCCTTCATCTCTCACTTCCTCCTCCTCTTCTTCCTCTTCTATCATTTTGCACATTTCCTGACATTCCAAAACTTTGTACGATTTCCAACAGCAGTAGCAAGCGCATTTCAAGTCTTTGCCGTATAAGGAGATGTAATTGATTGTATCATGCGTTAATTTACACTTACCTTGTTTTTCATCAATAAACATTCAATTTTAGAATAGTTTTTGATTCAGGAAAGATTGAGCAGCTATCTCAAAGTACGTGTGTTGAAAACTCCCCTTAAAAACCCTCTGTTTGGCCCATTCTTCCACACCACAAACACAAAAACTAATAACTAGTAATTCTTTTTCAAAAATTTCTCTGTTGTTGTACTTTGTCCAAGAATGTCATACAGTTAGAATCATACAGGATGTGGCCATTTCCTGCTGGCCTCTTTCCTTTGGCATTATACATTTAAGATTACTCCATGTCTTTTCATGACTTATCAAATATTGTCACTGAATAACATTCCATTGTATGCATGAACCACAGTCGATTTACCCATTTACTTGTTGAAGCTCATTTTGATTGCTTCCAAGTTTTGGTGGTTATGAACATAGCTGCAGGATTTTGTGTGGACATGTTTTCAACTCAACTGAGTAAATACCTAGGAGTACTTCAGCTGCCCTTCAGGGAAGATTGATCAGCTTCAGTAAGAAACTGGGGAACTTGTTGACTTCAGTGCTTTACAGATATTTCCCCCCACGCGAGGTGGGTCTTGTTTCTCTGCCAGTGTCTTTCACTGCACAAAAGACTTAGATTTTAATAAAGTTAGATGTATCAGTATTTTAATGCTTTTAGTTTTATATTAAAACCTCATTCTTAGAAAAAAGACACATGGGTTGTCTTATACAAATTTTGTAGTTTTATACATTACATTTAGAATTATTGGGACTGGAGAGATGACTCAATAGGTAAGAGCTCTGGCTGCTCTTATAGAGGACCCGGGTTTGATTCCCAGTACCCATATAGCAGCTAAAAACCATCTGTAACACCAGTTCCAGGGGA